TTAGATTTTTACCCAATACAAATTCATATTTAATTTTGTAAAAAGAAGAGTTTGATTTACTCATGTTGGATTTAGAAAAAAGGTAAAAAATAATTAAAAAGGTAAAAAGTATCAAAAGTTTTTACAATAAAATTTTCACTTATATAAATCTCAAAATTTTTACAAAATTTCTCTTTGTGATAAGAATTTTATTTGTGGTTAACCTGAAGAAATGGAAAAATCATATATGTGGTTAAGTAAAAATGATCTATAAACAATTTATTAAATGTGTTTCTTCTTAAATATAATTTCTTTTGCTTTAAAGCATACTTAAATACAAAGTTTATGTGTTGTTGCGCTAGAATACTGGTGAAGTACTTTGATATAAAAAGGTAATAATATTTCCTAGCTGGAAAACTAGCTTACAAATTCCTTGTGAGTTTTTATATTCATATTACTATCATATTATTTATATATCATAGAGTTGCGTAATAAAAAATCATAATTAAACTATAAATTCCTTAAGAAGATACATAAGCTTACATAAAACTCTATTTGAAAATTTATTTGAAATCTATTTAAAAAAAAATCTATTTGAAAAAAAAGTCTATTTGAAAAAAATCTATTTGAAAAAAAATTAAATTAAAATTTTTGTTTAATAAATGTTAGTTTTGTGTACAGCTGCGTTTACATTTTATTTTATCTTTTTCATTTTTCTAGAGCACACATAAATTTTATTTCTTAAGTAGTATTTAATGTAAGACAAATTTATCTCAGAAATCATAAGCACGTTGACCCAACGTCGGGCCAACGTGTTTTAGATTGGCTAGAGCAAATACGTCTCATAACGTAGGAAATGAAATTTTTTAAATGTACGTTGTGGTTTTCTGCGCATAATTTATTTATTAATTGAGTAAACAAAGCGCAGAAAACCACAATGCACATTTAAAATATAGTATTTGCTACGTTATGCCAACGTAAATTTTCTAATCAAATACAACATGTCGGCCCGACATGTTTTTTTTTTTCATTTTCATTGTGTTACTTTTTAAAGTTCTGAACATTTATTGTTCTGTTGTTTAAATATTAGCTTATTATTATTCAATTTTTTTTACTTTAATTTTTTTTAATTATATTTTAATTTTTTTGTTGCAAAAGCGCAACAAAAAAAAAACCAAAAACGACTTATTACTAAGAAGAAAATCATTTTTCGCATTTTTTTTTTAGCTGTATCTGATGGCCTACCTTATTTTGTTGCAAAGGAAATTAATAGAAAGTAGGACGAACCTCCGCAATCTATTTTTTTGTTAATGTTTTTTAAGATTTTGAATACTTTCAAAAAGTTACTAAAACGACACATTACTAAAAAGACAACCATTTTTTCACAATTTTTTTAACTGCATCTGATTTCCATTTTATTATATTGGTGTTTTTTAAAAGACATCATCAAAACTTAAATATAACCATTTTTTACAAATTTTTTTTTGTGTTTGTCAACTTAATTTTAAAAATACTCACTAAAGTCTTCATATATAATTTTTATCAATATTCGATTTTAGTTTTAATAGTAACCAAGAATATTTCTTAAAAGTATGCAAAAAAAATAGTTGTAAATAAAATGACTTTTTCTATTATCGGTTTCTTAAACGTTATAAACATGCTTTATATTTCAATTTTGCTATTTCTAAAACTATTAGTATCTAATCATAACTAACCAAATGCTAAATAATAAGGTAAAGTAATGCTTATAATTTAAAAAATGTCTTTTTAACTGTATCAAACGCCCACTCTAGTTTTATTGAAACGTTTTCAATGACTCATACCATTATATATTTTTAAAATTTACCTTTAAAGACTGCATTTTTGCAAAAAAAATACTGGTGATGTAAAAATAAATATGAAAGTAGTTTTTTTTAAGAACAATGCTCCATTAAACAATGGAGATACATAAAGATGACAAATATCCTGCAATGCAGAAACACCCTAGTTATAACTAATAACATTAAATCAACTATTTAATTGGCGAACCGTTTATCTACATGCTTCTAAGTTGGTGAGTTATTTGCTTTTAACTTTTTTGATATTTCATTCTTTGATAATTATTTGAATTATCTAAAAAATTGTTAACATAATAATTGATAAACGAATTATTATTTCGTTGTTTTATTATGTATTTTTCGATTATTTCCCATACTATTTTACAATCGCTATGAATTCGTAATCTCATTTATTGATCGAAATAAAAGCGAACTAAATATAATTTTGTAAATATCCTTTCAGTGATGTCGGCCCAACGTCATTTTACTGATCCCGGCCCGATGTTGTTTCACTGATCTCGCCTGAATGTCATTTTACTCATATCGGCCCGATGTTATTTTACTAATATTGGCCTAATGTCGTTTTACTGATTTCGGCCCGACGACATTGGGCCTATATCATTCTGATGAGCAAGATCTACGTTGGCCAGGCGAAATTAAACTACCATCGGTTGCTGCAAAAGCCTACGTGGTGCCGATGTCGGCCTAACGTATTTATGTTATCTGGGATAGGAAAGAATAATAGATATAAAGTTTATCAAAGTTTATTGTTATTATTTTTATTATTATTTTAATGACATTACTAGGTAAGCATTTTAAAAAACCTTCTTATAAGAGTTACAGCATGGTTTTTTAACTGTTTATTTTATATTTTGTAAGAATGGTTTTCTTTTTTATGACTTAGAGTTATAAAAACCATTATAAAAACAATCTATTTTTCAAGTCTTTGTTTTTAAGATAATGTTTTAAAAATCACGGATGTTTCAATTTGCAATGTTTTATAAAAGCATAAGTACTTTAATTTTCCAAATTTGATTGAAAAACTGTATATGTTTTTCAATATTATTTGATATTTTATGCAATTAATCAATTTTACTTATATTACTTAATAGACTTTTTGTTATTAGCATTGATTTTAACAAACGCGCATACGCTTTTATTTCAAATTTAGCCAATCAGATTGTGCATATACCTGCCTTTTCTGAGCTTGTATAAGGCTTTAAAATATGCTTTTAGGAAAAAAATCTTTAACAAGTTTCAAATCACTTTAAAAAATAACAATTCCAAAGTTTTTAGTTAATTTTCTGAACAAAGTATAAAAGTAAAATGTATATGTTTTAGTTTTAGGTCAAAGTAGTACATAATTACTATCAAGCGCTCTCAAGTTAACCTCTATAACTCCTGTAAATGTGCATTTAACTACGGGACTATTAAACAACGGAATAAAGAAACTGGTCTGAACTGTAAACCAAACATCAAAAGGCAATATTGTAGACCTAAATGTTTGTGAGATTTTGTTAAGAGTAGGTCAACACATAAGTAATTTTTTTCACCTGCAGTCACAAAAAATTTACCGATGGAAATGGAGATTCTGGTACTGTTCGGGTGATTGCTTACTGCAAAGTTTTATCAAATCTTATATATCATATTTTTTAGTTTTTTCAAAATTTCTAATAGATTTATTGTTAAGCTGGGAATTGATTGTAGTAAATGTTTTTTTTTAGTTTTGCCTATGCATTGTTAATATTGCGTTAAGGGTTAATACAAGCTCACCGCCTCAAAAACAACCTATTACTCAAAAGACTGGAAAAGAGTTATGAGACAAATACTTGTTGCGGCATCACAAGACTTTCCAAAAACTCACCCCAACATGGAACAATACTGATCAAAAACTAATGCAATCAGGGTTCATCGAATTTTGGCATGCGACATTAAATTAAATAATAAATCAAATATACACTCTTACATGAAATGACGTCAAATCCAAGTTCATTGCCAAATATAGAAACTTGCAAACAAAGGGCTGAATCAAATCTAGCTTAGAGTGTTTTCAGCAATCGGCGGGGTTGTTGCTAGTGGAAAAATGTTTTCCAATGCTATTTGAAAAATATTTATCAGCGGGCTTGACAATGTTATGATTTTGGAAATGATTCCACTGATAAATCTGCATTTCTTTAAAGAACTTTACAGTACAATCACCTTAACGTTCTTTTACCAAATGATGAGAGAACTTTATAGTTCGGGAGATTAAAAGCGAGGCTCACTTTACAGCAGAGAGATGAAAGATATCAGTCTAAGAACCATTGTAATAAAAGTCACAAAATGAATGCCAGATAGCTATATTGTTGTTATACGGAGTTTAATGATGTTCTACACCTGTTGTAAAAGAAATGTGATATAAAAGTTTTAGTGAGATTAATGCCTAATTCTAAAAAAGCAATTAAAAAAAAAACAACTAGAGTTAGGCTGAGCACAAACTCGGGTCAGAAAAAAGATACAAATTAAATAGTGAAGGTAAACGAGTAGGATTATCTTGAGAATCAAAGTCACAAATCAATCTCTCAATTTAGAAACTAAGTAGTAGTCCTAGAGCCAACAAATTAAGTATGATTAACAAAAAAATTTTAAAACAATAATGGCCAAGGAAAAATAAAGCACTTGCTCAAATTTATTTTAAATATAATATGGAACGGAGAGCAGTCTAAGGAATAAGGAGAATTATAAATAACGAGTAGAAAATTGATTATCAAAGGAAAAGAGTGAAGAGGAGCTAAAGAAAAGCACATACAAGAATTGCTTAAAAGTTCAACCTGTATTTACTGAAAAGTATATAACAATCATTAATTTTATATTCCGAATATGAACCAGAAAATTTAGTTTAAAATTAGTCTCAAAAAGATTGTTTCCAGAATTTTACAAAAAGTAAGATTTATCAAATGGAAAGTTATATTTAAGACATTAAGTGAAATATTCCATTTAAAAAACTAATTTACGCACATCTTTGAAAAAGATAGGTTAACATTTTTTTGTGATAATTATTTAAATTAAAGATACAAAACCCTAACCGAAATAGCGCAACTTTAGTTATTTCTGTAACTCTATATAATGACAGTGATATTCTAAAACCATAAAAAAACCTATTATTTTTTTAAATAAATTTAAAGCAAAAGCTTACTAATCATTATTTTTTCAATTAAAATTTAGGTTGTAAGATTAGATTCTGGTAGTTGTGAAAATATTTATTTGAATTCAGTTGATGTATCTTTTAAAGGTAAAATCGTTTTTAAATTTTTGTTAATTCAAAAACATACTTTATATTTTCTTTATTAAATGTTTTTAGTTAGGTTATTTTAAATTAATCAATCGTTAAAAGCCACTGATTTTACAAAGAAAACACAACCAAGAAAATGTAAGGTCTACGTAAAAAAAATATTGAGGGCAAAAAACTTTGGGGTAAATATAGCTCTTTTGCTATCAGAGTAGCAAAACTTGATGGAGTACAAAACAATTTTGATGGAGTAAAAAACTCCCAAACTTTTTTCCTAAATTAGAAAAAATGGTCCTTCACACTTTTTTTTATCAGCTTAGGGTAGAGAAACAGTACCAAGGACCGTTCTCATTGAAAACTATGAATAAACCAATGCTGAAAACAAATATAATTTGTTAAAAATTACTACTAAATTATATCTAAATTTACTAAAATTATTGTGTCTATACATTTTTATGATTTTTTACTACACTTGACAATGTTGTTAATAAAAGTTATTAACAACATTGTCAAGTCATCTGATGTTTTGCTTAATAATAGCATTATTAATAACCAATTTTTGAGATTTTTTTTCTTGTTTAAAATATTTTTGATTAAAAGTTGCACCATTTTTTTTACAATGGCTGGACTATTTGAATACATTAAACATTTTTGAAATATAAATATTTAGTCCATTACATTTCCTAATAGACACAAGGACGTCCAGAGTACGTCCAAGGACGTCTAAAATGGTCCGTTCCGACGTCCGAAATAGATGTCCTTGGACTTTCATTGGACGTACCAAATTCAACAACGTTCGTCCACTCATTTCGGACCTCTAAAGTACGTCCAAGGGCGTCCAAAACAGTCCGTTTAGAGATCCACAATGAACGTTATTGGCGGTCCAACGAACCTTCAAATTTTTTTCGTTCATTCAACGATTAATTTTATTTAGCTTGTTCTCATACCGACTCCATTTCTAACAACTTTAAAAAATGATGTCTTGAAATAAGAAACAAAGTCTTTTATTTCCCAGAAGACCTAAATTAAATAAACACGTATTTAAGGATTCAACACGTGTTGCGACCCTCTTTAGGATAATAAGGTTATTGAGTAAAAATTAAATGCCAGTATTGAAACAAATTACAAAAAAATAAAAAGAATAATATTTTTGACGATAATATTATATAATTAAAATCCAGCAAAAAACATTTATTTTTTTGGCTCTTTTTAATATGTTGCTAATTGCACACTCAATGCTGCTTGCATCAAAACAAATTTTGACATCAACAATAGTATCTAAAGAAATATGATTTAGCACAAAATTGTCTGTCAATCATAGAACATATTTTAAAAAAATAAACAATTACATTCAAAAGCAAAATAAAGAAACTGCCTAGACTGCCTGGCCAAACCAAACCCTCAGTCGATGTAGCAGCACTCTCTTCGAGTCAAGCTATTTGTCAGTCATTGTAGCAGCACTTCCTTGCGAGTCAGGCTGTTTGTCAGTCGATGTAACAGCACTCTCTTGCGAGTCAGGCTATTTGTCAGTCGTTGTAGCAGCACTCCCTTGCGAGTCAGGCTATTTGTCAGTCGATGTAGCAGCATTCCCTTGCGAGTCAGGCTATATGTCAGTCGATGTAGCAGCACTCCGTTGCGAGTCAGGCTATTTATCAGTCGATGTAGCAGCACTCCTTTGCGAGTCAGGCTATAAGATAGTCGATGTAGCAACATTTACGCATGTTTTAAAATGTTTTTTATTAAATCAATAACAAAAACACCACTAATTAAAAAAAACTTTCTAGTCGTTATAATTGCGGTTTTTTAAAATTTTTTTAAAAAGCAATTAAATTTAATGTACTTCCGCATAAATTAATTGATTTGACATTTCGATGACAATCAAAAACAGCTTAAGAGACGAGGTAATTAAAATTGTAGTCGTATGAGACTTTTTTTACATTAAAACGCTCTTTCGACTACACTATATGGGTATATATATATATATATATATATATATATATATATATATATATATATATATATATATATATATATATATATATATATATCAAAAACAGCTTAAGAGACGAGGTAATTAAAACTGTAGTCGTAAGAGACTTTTTTTACATTAAAACGCTCTTTCGACTACACTATATGTATATATATATATATATATATATATATATATATATATATATATATATATATATATATATATATATATATATATATATATATATATATATATATATATATATATATATATATATATATATATATATATATATATATATATATATATATATATATATATATATATATATATATATACCCATATAGTGTAGTCGAAAGAGCGTTTTAATGTAAAAAAAGTCTCTTACGACTACAATTTTAATTACCTCGTCTCTTAAGCTGTTTTTGATTGTCATCGAAATGTCAAAGCAATTAATTTATGCGGAAGTACTTTAAATTTAATTGTTTTTTAAAAAAATTTTAAAAAACCGCAATTATAACGACTAGAAAATTTTTTTTAATTAGTGGTGTTTTTGTTATTGATTTAATAAAAAACATTTTTAAAACATGCGTAAATGTTGCTACATCGACTATCTTATAGCCTGACTCGCAACGGAGTGCTGCTACATCGACTGACATGTTTATATATGTATATATATATATATATATATATATATATATATATATATGTATATATGTGACATGTATATATATGTATATATATATATATATATATATATATATATATATATATATATATATATCTCCACTTTTTTAATGTTTTTGAGTCTACCAAGGATTTTAGTTTGCGAATTATAAGTCCGCTGAAAATTTTTAGGCAAATTTAAAGCAAAGTGTATCGAAATTCTAAACAAAGAATAAAACAAAAAAATGATACATGGATACATTTATGTATCAACAAGAAACATAAGTATATACAAGACACGTGACTGTAACAACATTAAAAAGCCTTTTAATTTAGAATAATGTTTTTTTTAACAGTTATATATAAGTCTTAAGGAAGGAATGTTATTAATAGCGGTTTATTTATGCGTTTTAGATTTTCCATACATTCTAGCAATTCTTAACCCAGTAGGATAGATTTATATTCTTCGGCTAAAAATAGATTTTTATTTTTAACTTTGCAAAGAAATCTTTGAGGGTGGCCTTTTCTGAGCACAGTATTATATTTAGGAATCTTTTTAAATTTAGTGGTATCATTAACAATTTCGTACATTTCTAATATTATTACCTTTGTCTGGTTGAGTTGTTATAATATTTTTGTTTTTTCGTTGCTTTTAAGG